CTCTTTCGAGTCATTTAGGAATGATGATCAACAAACGAAGTAATTTAGCTGTTTTTCGGTTCGTTGAGCCTGCAACAATGCGGCGTTCAAAAGCCTGATCTATGTGTGTGTTCTATAAAAGAACTCAGTTATCATGGCTTCATCAGTCAATGAAATTCACAACAGTTAGTTTAAGGCCATCCAGGCAGGTGGGGAGGTGTCAACTCCCTGATTGGCTGGAGACAATTGGTGGTATGGCTGAAAATCCTCGTTGTCAATGACAACGCAGATGCATTCATTCCTTGTGCTTTGTCATATCCAATAAAACTCTATTGTTTTCCCGTATTACTATTCTTTTTCCCTCACCCTTCTGTTGATTATCTCCGTCTCTTTTGAAGCTTTCTTTATTCTTTTCTGTTTGTGTGCAACTGCGTGTGTGTGTGGCAACTGGAACTGCTGCCCATCTGTGCAAAGTTCTACGTTGAAACCAGTCAGTTATCATCTGATTATTTGTCATTTATACTTGTTGGAGTGCGTCGGTGGCACAGCGGTCCGGGGTTCGATCCCCGGCCACTGGACGACGCACTCCTTTACCTCGCTAAGTCTGTAAGTAATAAGACTGGTAAAGAGGGAAGGTTGGCTAGGCATTAGGCAGGCTAGCAACCCCATCCCGTAAAAAAATAAATAACACTGCCTCTAGCTTGAAACCGCCCTATGTTCCCTCCACTGGGAACGTGAAGGAATGAAAAAAAGTACTCGTTGGAACTTGTTAGCAAGGTTGTATCTGTGCAACTTCGAAAGAACTGATACCGTGTCGGTGATTCAAACCAGAGTCACTGTATTTGTGGACTAATTGGGTTCAGGATTAATCTCCAGTAAGATTGTAACCGACGAAATGATTGGTCACGTCGTCGATCAGCATCACCACTAAGTACTAGATACATAACACTGGTTACAACCAGGAGTCACTTTTGGACCACCTGAGTGGCTGGCGAATATCCTACCGTTGAATCACGGACACTTAGTGATTCTATATGTTTAGAAATAGAAGTGATTTAGTCGTTCTATATTCCAGTGAGGTTTTAAGTTAACTGATGAATTGATATCAATTAGGGAATCACTGGAGGTCTGGGAACACTGGACGGCTGTTTCGTCCCACTTCAAAACTAACTCTTCAGTAGCATACACACATGATCTCACCGCCAGGAATCTAATCCAGAACCTCCTGTTTACTGTCCATCCAACGGAACGGAATCCACTGTCCACTTTATGTATTTATTCTAACTTATGCCAATTTACGATAATCTCTAGCGTCGTCACTGCTAATCAATCTGATTAGGGAGTTGTTGTTTTTTTCTTCTCACAGCTGACTTGGTTGGTTTAGTGGTCTTCTCATCATTGATATCTCTGCAAAATTAACCAATACTTAAGTAAACAAACAAAAGGAGTATTTAATGAGGTGTGTTGTGATTTTAAGCATAGAAAAAGAAACAACACAACAACAATTTTACGCTTCTCATGGGTATAACAAAGAAAAGAACACGTAAACAATAACAATAATAACAACAACAGCAATCAAGAATTATTGATTTACAGTGTTCAATCCCTTTTAGTGGCATAACTCATTAAAGAGGAGAAGTGGCAGAGAGAGAGAGCGGGGACCGGGGGGGGGGAGAAGGAATCACGATTATTGAGAGGAGTTTAGAATTTAATCAACCATAACAAGGAAGAATTTTAAATAAAAATCAAATAAGATATTTTAGTGACCTCAAGGGAATTGATGTATCCTTTTTCCAGTATAATATTTGGGGCTGACTTCATCCGGTAGAGGGGTGAAATAGTCAGAGACATCATTTCAGTGATTCATGTGACAAATGATTTCCTATAGAGAGGTTGTGTTGGATAAGCTTGCTATTATCTCTCAGGCATCATTGGAAGGTAAACAAGGTGGCATTGTTGTTCTAGTCCCTTTCTCTCTCTCTCTCTCTCTTCAATTGCACTGACCAAATTAATCTTGCGTGCGTCAGTGGCACAGCGGTAGGAATACTCGCCAACCACGCCACAGGTGGTACGGAGTTCGATCCTCGGCCACTGGACGACGCACTCCTTTACCTCGCTAAGCCTGTAAGTAATAAGACTGGTAAAGAGGGAAAGTTGGCTAGGCATGAGGCTGGCTAGCAACCCCATCCCTATGTTCCTTACACTGGGGACGTAAAGGAAAAAACTAACCTTGCACTATGGTTATCAAACTGGTGAGAAAGAAGACTTATAATTCGTATGACGCACGGGTTTTGAATATCTCCCGGGGACATGAATTTCTGTGACGTTGAATAATAATAATAATACACTTTGTAATTGGTTGAAAAGCCTTCTACTGTGATTACTTCCAGCTATTCAAGATGCCAGTTCATCATGTGATTAGTGAGTCTTCTAGTTACGATGATCATATTGTCAGCTAAATGGGTAGAATTCAACACCTTCCGAGAATAGACAACAGTGTGACAGGTAGACGTAATTTGCAGAGATTTGATTGGCTACAGGTTAGATTACATGAGTTGAAATCAGTTAGCGATAAAATTCTTTTCTTTACAAAGAGCTACGCTTGAAAGAAGTACATTGCTCTCTATAAGAGGGGAATTCAAGCACTATATGATAGGGTGTAATTTCATGTCGTTTTTTTCTATTCCTTCACGTTCCCAGTGGAACATAGGGCTTCAAGCTAGAAGCTTGAAGTTTCTGTAGCACTGCTTATTTTTTACAGGATGGGGTTGGTAGCCAACCTCATGCCTAGCCAACCTTCCCTCTTTACCAGTCTTATTACTTACAGGCTTAGCGAGGTAAAGGAGTGTGTCCAGTGGCCGGGGATTGAACCCCGGACCATGTGAGGCGTGGTCGGCGAGCGTCGTCCCAACCGCTATGCCACCGACGCACTATGTCGTCGTATAAGTTAGAAAATCGTTTGGTAAATGGCTTTATTTGACTGTGAACAACAATAAATTATGATAACGGCGGTTTGCTTAAATCACTCGGCTACTAGAGTTTCCATCTATCAAAGTGGTGCTTAAACTCCTCTTCTGCATTTCTGATTGATATAATCATGAAACTATATCAGATGATCACTGCATGAACTCACGTGTGCACACATATATTTAATTAGCTTTCAGCAAAACACTGTAGGATTCCTGGACGATGTCATTCGATGGCCTCCTTAGTGGCGTGCCCTCCTACATAGTGGCTGAGCAATCAGCTCTTGGTTGGTTCGTTCACCGCCAGAGTTTTTTTTGTTGCTAATTCTCTCTGGTCAGCCGTCTATTTGATCTTCAATATGGAACCAGCGAAGGGGGGGCAGCTGTTGATAAAAGTCTCTAACTTGTTGGGAATGCTTTTCATGACTGACTCACGCGCAGTGCAATTCTCTGACTCATATAAAAGAACTGATTGACTGACTTCACATTTGTGTTTAATAGAATCCGAATCTTGTTGTTTATGCTGAGTTAGTGAGTGAGTGCAGAAGATTTCCAAACTGATTTCGGCTAGTTATGCTTTGCTATTACCTACTGAAGACCTTGCACTTGATGAGTTTTCACTTTAATATATATAAGTGAACCATTTACCCCAGTGATTCTGACTGTCTGGATTCAACATAGAACTTGGCACCCAAGTGCAGCAGTTCGAGTTGCCACGTTCCAAATAGCACACAAAGGTAGACAGGAAAATGAGAGAAGAGAATCAATAGAATTTAGATAAGTATAAGAGTGAAACAGAATGAGTAATGGTAGAAAGGAATATGAAAGATTACAGAGACTGAATACATCTGCGTAAGCCATTGACAACGATTTTGAGCCATGTCACCTATTGTCTCCAGCCATTGATTCTTAGAGTCCCGAGGGCGGGCCCCAACTCGGAAGTCTGCATCTCCCTACCTGACTTAGTTTAACTGTCAGGGATTTCATGGATTGATGAGGCCATGTTTTTGTTTGGCCACCACTTACTCTTTTCCAACCTGCACCTATATCAGCGCGAGGGTCAGTAGAAGACTGTCGCTCCTTCTGGAACACATGCGTAGACTCTGATCACGCTCTGGTTCGCGCACGTTTACGCTTACGTCCAAATGAACATAAGAAATTGACGGCATCGAAACAGTTGCGTCCCAAACTAGATCGAGACACTGAGTCACTATTTAAGGAAGAAATAGCGAAACGTGTGTCTGAGGTCGATAGCAGGACTTCCCCTGAGGTAGCCTGGCACAACATATAGCTAGCTGTAGACACAGCTATAGATGCTGTTAATAATCTAAAACCAAAATTTAGTAAGAGCCATTGGATCTTTACCGCTTCATCAGCCCAGTGATTACATTTCTTTAAATACTTCTAATTATGCAAGAAATCCTTCTTTAAACTCTCCTTGGTTGGAGGATTTCATCATAAGCTGACATCAATTAGAGAACCATTGGAAAACCAGTAGTGGAGTACTGAACGGCTGTTTTGGCCTAGTTTGTGACTCTTCAGTGGTACTCATCCACCGCCAGGGTTCGAACCCAGGACCTTCTGGTTACAGGGCCAGCTAGGTTGTAGACCATTCAGCCAGCCACTGGAACCTGATCCAATCTCCAGCCCATGAATTCGAGTTTCTGCCAGTTTATGACATATCGCGACCAATTCGCAATGTCTTCTTCGATGAGTAACTGTCCTCATCTTCAACCTGCTGTAACCTGCTGGTCACGACTTCTCACTAGAACCCCAGGAAACTAACTGCCTGAATAGGGCCAGTCACCGCTAGTGAGCATCAGATCAATTTTCAAGTATTGATTTTTGTAGGGATTAAGTTTGATTGGTTGGAGGATTTCATTATGAGCTGACATCAGTTAGAGAACCAAACAGATGACTGAAACATGAGGTAAATATTAAACCCTTTTATTATGTTTCTATGATTAATTGATCCGTTTCATTATTTCTAGTCGAATTGAAATTTATGTTGTGTGTTATCATTATTTTTCTCTCCTCTCTCCCTGTTTTTTATAGATATTTTCAAGGTTTCGATTGGGCTGGTATAGTAAAACAAACATTGGCCACTCCATTCAAAGTTAAGGTAAGCGCGCACATAGCGAATTTTGTCTTTTGTATGTGTGTCTGTCAGTTAGTGTATTATATAACTTGTCGATTTTTGCATATATATATATATATATATATATATATATATATACGATATGGCGCAACCACTAGCGAATGTCATTGTTGGCGAGCATTTGTCCTCACACTCGACTTGCTGTACTTCGGTAACTTCTTCTTCATCAGCTTCTATAGTTATATGCGTCAATATTTAGGGTTATTAACAACATTTTTTTTCTTCCTTCACATTCCCCAGTGGAACATAGGGGGCTTCAAGCTAGTGGCTTGAAGTTTCTGTAGCAGTGGTGATTATTTTTACAGGATGGGTTTGCTTGCCTCATGCCTAGCCAACCTTTCCTCTTCACCAGCATTATTTCTGGCTTAGCGAGCGAGGTAAAGGAGTGCGTCGTCCAGTGGCCGGGGATCGAACCCCGGACCATGTGCATGGTCGGCGGGCGTCCAAACCGCTATGCCAACGACGCACATTAACAACATTAATGTGTTGTTTAAATAACATCGAATTAATCAATAATATGAATAGATTACAGTTGAATAGCGTCTGTAAGTGTGATAATATGCATCAACATCACACTACACACTAAATATTAGACAAATTAGGAAAAATAACGATAATATAGAATTCATGAATCCATAGACTGCACAGAAGGCCGGCCGAGTCAGTAGTAGTAGTCTGGCTGGCTGGCTGGTTGGCTTAACCTGTTTCTTCTGCACACACACACACACACAGAGCGACGGTTGTTTTAGGCGGATCACAATAGCCTCTGCTCTTTGGAGTATGCGGTACCTGCATGTTTTTGGCAGTTTATTTGATACCCGGTAGATGATTCTTCAGTGCTAGGCTGCTTTGTTGTGGCTGGTTGCTTTGGACCACCTGGTTTAATCTCGAGCTGTTGATGATAGTTTTCACTACACCTTTATTTAACCACACAACACTGGTAGGTGTGTCCCGAGTGAGCATGAAAAGTCAAGTCCCTAAAGCAACGGGCAATATAAGTCTCTCTACTATAAGTGCAGTTGAATTGGTAGATACAATTGGAAGTGGCTAGATAGTCTGGGTCTCTTATTTTTTTCAACAACCTGCTCTTCATCATCAGGTTCTACAGTTATATATATCCATCCATCCATACTAATAATGAAAGAGTCAGGGTTATACTAACAACATTAATGTGTTGTTTAAATAACATCGAATCAATCAGTAATATCAATTTTCTGCAAGACCGGTTGTGATTTCTCAAATGAAAGATGAAGCACCTAGACTAGACTAACCACCTCTAATTGCGTCGACCAGTTCAACTGCGCTTGTGGTGGAGTGAGTTATATTGGCCGTTGCTCTACGCACTTGATTCTTCGTGCTCTCTCGGGACACACCTACCAGTGTGGTGTGGCTAAATATAGGTGTAGTGAAAACTATCATCAACAGCTCGATATTAGACCACCTGGTCCAAAGCGACCGGTCATAATGCTAGCTGGCATTGAAGACCCCTTCTCCACATCCTTTATCTGGTACCAACCAGCTCAAAAAATACAACTAATTCCAAAGAATTAGAGTCATTAACAACATTAATGTGCTGTTTAAATAACATCGAATCAATCAATAATATGAATAGATTACAGTTCAATAGCATCTGTAAGTGTGATAATATGCATCAACATAACACTGCACTACACTGAATATTAGACAAATTAGGAAAAATAACAATAATACAGAATTTATGAATTCATAGAATCTACAGAAGGCTGGTCAGGGTAGTAATAGTGGCTGCCCGCCTGGCTGGACCTGTTTCTTCTCCACACACACACACACACAGAGCATCGGCTGTTTTAGGCGAATCACAATAGCCTCCACTATTTGGAGTCTTCAGTACCTGGATACTTTTGGTAATTTATTTATATGGTACCTGATGGATGATGGAGAAGTGTTCTTCAATGCTAGCTAGCATTATGCTTCTCATTACACCTTTATGTAGCCACGCCACACTGGTAGATGTTCCCCGAAGGAGCAAGAGAAACCAGGTTCCTAGAGCAACGGCTAATATAACCCTCTCCACTACAATTCCAGCTGAATTGGTAGATACAATTAGAAGTGGCTAGCTAGTCTGGGTACTTTATTCTTTTCAACAATGTGCTCTTCATCATCAGGTTCTACAGTTATATATCCATCCATCCATAATAATAATAATGAAAGAATTAGGGTTATACTAACAACATTAATGTGTTGTTTAAATAACATCGAATCAATCAATAATATCAATTTTCTGCAAGTCTGGTTGTGATTTCTTAAATGAAAGATGAAGCACCTAGACTAGACTAACCACCTCTAATTGCGTCGACCAGTTCAACTGTGGTTATATTGACCGTTGCTCTACGTACTTAGTTCTTATTGCTCACTCGAGAACACCTACCAGTGTGGTGTGATTAAATAAAGGTGTAGTGAAAACTGTCATCAACAGCTCGAAATTAAACCAGGTGGTCCAAAGCGACAGGCCATAATGCTAGCTAACATTGAAGACTCCTTCTCCATCCTTTATCTGGCACCAACCAGCTCAACATGCACAACTAATTCCAAAGAATTAGGGTTGTTAACAACATTAATGTGTTGTTTAAATGACATCGAATCAATCAATAATATGAATAGATTACAGTTGAATAGCGTCTGTGCAAGCGTGATAATATGCACGAACATTACAATGCACTACACTGAATTTTAGACAAATTAAGAAAAATAACAATAATACAGAATTTATGAATTCATAGAGTCTACAGAAGGCTGGCCAGGGCAGTAATAGTGACTGGCTATCTGGACCTGTTTCTTCTCCACACACACACAACACATACACAGAGCACCGGCTGTTTTAGGCGAATCACAATAGCCTCCACTATTTGGAGTCCTCAGTACCTGGATACTGATGGATGATGGAGAAGTGTTCTTCAATGCTAGCTAGCATTATGCCCGGTCGCTTTGGACCAGGTGGTGTAATATCGAACTATTAATACTTCTCATTACACCTTTATTTAGCTACACCACACTGGTAGAGATGTTCCTGAGGGAGCAGGAGAAACCAGGTTCCTAGAGCAACGGCCAACATAACTCTCTCCACTACAAGTGCAGTTGAATTGGTAGATACAATTAGGGAGGGGACTAGTCTAGTCTAGGTCATGTAGAAAATTAGACATTTAGTTTACCGGCATTAAAAGTTCTTTGATAAATAGATTTTCTTAACTTCTTGTAATTATTTCATCACTGGATACGTCACCCTTTATGAATTGCAGTCGTATTTACAGATAGAGAATAGTCCTCTTCTGCTTTCTTGGTCATGTGTTATTTTCCTGATGAACTTTTCTAGAATAGCAGTGTTTTGATCAGTTGTCATTTTCAAAAGAATGGACACGGAACAAAGAGTACCCTTTTCGATAACTTCATCATCAGGTTCTACAGATATATATATATATATACATTATAGTGAATGAATGAATTAGTGTTATGAACAACATTAATGTTGTTTAAATAACATCGAATCAATAATATTGATAGATTACAGCTCAATAGCATCAACATAAAATAAACTGAATGTCAGAAGAATTAGGAAAGATAATATTACAAATTCATGAATTTATAGTCTCTACTGAGGGCCAGGGCAGTAGTAGGGGCTGGACTTGTTTCTTTTGGACACATAGCACTGGTTGTTTGAGGCGAATCGCGATAGCCTCTGCGGTGCTTCGATGATTTTGGTAATTTGTTAGGCACCCGGTACATTATAGAGAAGGATTCTTCTACGCTGGCTTTGTGACCGGTTTGCACCAGATGGTCTAATATCGAGCTGTTAATAGTTTTAACTACACCTTTACTTAGCCATAGTGGGAGATGTTCTCGAGCCAGCACGGAAAATCAAGTTCCTAGAGCAACGGCCAATATAACTCGCTCCAGCACAAGCGCAGTTGAATTGGTAGATACAATTTGAAGTGGCTAGCTAGTCTAGGTACTTCATCTTTCAGTCGAGGTAGCACCATCGGTCAGTCGTGTAGAGAATAAGACGTGTAGTTCGCCAGTTGTCATTTTAATGAGAACAAATTAGTTCAGCGAAGAGTCTCTTTTCGGCGAATTGATTCACTTAGCTGTACAGTCGCAAATATATACAATTATTTTGTGTGTGTGTGTACATTAGGTTTGTCAAAATCAAAATAACAGTTAGTGTGGGTTGTTGATTATATCATCAAAATAATAAAGAAATTAAAATGTGTGATTAATAATCAAAGTTGTAACTAAGTGGGGTGAAAATTGGTAAGATGTGAGTAGGGTTACGTAATATAAACATGTTTAGAAAGATTAGATGCTAGTGAAGGAGTATGGAGACAATTATGAAAATAAACTAGATAATAGGTGAAAAGATTGAATGGGTTAGTTACTAAAAATTATCATACGAAGACTGCAAAAAAATTTGATAACAAAATGTTGATGACAGATAAACTTGAAATTAAACCCACGGTAGTAGGAGGGGGTGGAGAAGTTTCTTCTGTGTGCATAAATCAGGCTTTTCTATCCAAATCGCTAAGGCTTCGGCAATACAAAGTATACGGAAGCTTGTCGATTTTGGAAGGCTTCTTTTAACTTTATAGATGACTTTGAACGACTTCTCCTTGCAAATCGAATGACCAGTGTTGAGTATATGCTCAATAATGGCGCTCCTTATTGCTCCGTTGTTACCTTTCCGTAGCCAGGCGGGATAGTGTTCTTGAACTCTTTTAGATAAAACTCGCATCGAACGACCTATGTACCTCGCTCCGCAAGAGCAGGTGAATTGGTAGATAGATACCCATGGAAGTGGTCAAATGCGATAGTTTATCTTTAGAGTAGTTGAAGAACAATGGCCGGGAGGAAAATGTCAGTCGTAGTGTGGCAGCGAAGAATGTCCTTCTGAGAGCAGTAGATAGATATCCTCTTCTTCAAGGTGTCAGCCAGAAGGTCACCTTTGAAGGGTACATTCATGTAGACCATCTTCTTCTGCACTGTAATGGGTTGTTCTTTGTAAGTCTTAGGCTTAATATGCTTGTCTATAAAACGGGGTGGGTAGCCATTCTCGAGCAGTGTCTTCCATTTTGTTGGAAATATAATATATATTTAGAAATAAATTAAATTATTTTATTAATTTTTAATCGATACCTTTTTTCTCTGTTTCATTGCATTTTTATAATTCGATCATCGTCATCGTGATTGTGATCGTGATCGGGATCATGATTGTGATCGGTTAATTGTCAACTTTATCAGTTGAATGGCCCATTGGATCATTCAAATTTTGATCGTTTCACAATGGATGAACAAGAAGCACCAGATGAATTATCAGGATGGGATGCAAACTTTTAGTGGACTGCTGTGTCTGTTTGTGCGTGTGTTTATTTGTTGAAATGTATTTTCTATCTACATTCATCTGTGTATGCATGTGTGTGCGTGTGCGTGTGTGTGTGTTTATTCGGGTCCACCTGTTTCCCGTTGACATTGTTACTGATGCTGATGCTGCTGCCCCACTGTTGTTGTTATTGTTATTATTATCATTTCCTCTCTATTATTTCTTACAATATTACATATATAATGTAGTGTGTGTGTTTGTGTGAGGAGTGCGTGCGTGCGTGCGTGTGTACACTACGTGTAGAATACCTGAGGAATGTGTTTATTCATCGACTTGTTTACTCCCTGAATTGTACTCCTCTTTCTGTAGGTGTCATACACATTGTCACTTGAAGACATAAACACGCTCCTGCCCAACTCTATCTCTTCCCCACCCCATCCCCACCCACGCACACACACGCACCTCCTTTCTGTCTCTATATATCTGTGTTTATTTTGCCTTATTACCCTTTGAAGTAAGTGAAAGTATCTTCTCTCCATCAGTGAAGTACAAGAGTGCAGGAGTATATCTATACTAAACAGCGCATAGGACACAAAGTCGATCGAAAGTGAGAGTAAATCATTCGAAGGTATCTATCCTATTATCACATAACCATTTTCCATCTGTCTTCATTTATCTTCGTGTTGATGTTCTTCTTATAATTTGTGTTCTTTTTCTTCATATATCTATCAACATCAAAAAGACAATATATATAGATTCTGATGTGCCTATATATATGTATCTGCGCTTCTCTCCCTATCCCTCTCTCTTTCGAGAACCATAGTTTCCTGAAAAAAGGCTGCTGATATTATGCATATGATAGATGTACGTACGTACGTACGTACATCTTTTGTGTTTTCCGTGAGCTTCCATTCCTGTAGTAGTCACAACAAGAAGAAGAAAGCTGAGATTATGTGATGAAGGGCAGTGTGAGGGGAAAGTGATGATGATGCCTACTGTATGTAACGCATATAATTCATCTATGTTCCAGTTCATTGATAGAAACACTACTCCTGCACATACCATTACAAGACTATAAGAGATAACAAGAAGTGTCTGGATGCTTTGACGCCGGCGGCGGGGCGCGTGGGGAATGTATGGATGAGAGAGTTAGGCTCTTTGTTCATCATTATTTTGGGTCAACAATAAAACAAGTCTTTGTGTATGGATCCTCCTCCCCCCTACACTCACACACACAAACACACCGAAGGAGATCCATGCAGATATATACTCCGTCGTCTTTTTGATATCATCTATTTTCATTCTACATGACTTCTTATTATTAGAAATATAGACATTAGTATTCTTGTTGTTCATTACTATTATTCATACTGTTGAATGCACTGAGAGTATCTTTCTTTATACATATTTGATTACGTAATATCTAAAAAATAAACAATAGTCTGTTGGTGTTGTTACTGCTGCCTAGTTTGTTTTTATTGAGTCATTTATACGTACTTGGGTGTGTGTATGTGTGTTGTGTGTGGGTGTGGTTGTATACATTTTGGGATTTCTACCCTACTCTTGACCACCCATTTCTCCATCTGCCCCTCCCTCTCTCATTCTTTGTGTCTTATTCAGTCGATTTCTGTTTTAAAATATGCCCAAGAGAGTGGTGCATAGTATTATATAACTCCGTGAGCAGTACTCTTTAATAGCACCCTCTGTATGTGTGTGTGCCTGTGTGTGCGGGGGCGTTTGCTTTACGATGGTTTACGTTTTGTTTCGTTTTGTTAACTCAATGAACAATTCCGGAGTTAAATGTGTTTTATTACTGTTTCACTACTGTTACTACTACTACTTATTACTGATAAAAGTAGTCTCTTCTGTTCTACTGCTGTTTAGATACACCAATACAACACACAAACAAACATTCATATATACATACATACATACACTTCTGTCTTTTATTTTCCTCATATTCTGTATATTCACTAAAGTGGGTGGCGATTACACATAATCTGAAAGGTGATTGATTAATCTATTGATTTATTGATTTATTTCCATTGTGAAATATATATTGATTAAATGAGAATTATCCCTTTGTGTGAGCTTATACACTGTGTGTGTGTGCGTGTGTGTAGCGCTTGATTGATTTTCTAAGGAGCCATTCATTTTGTTTAGTTAAAAAAAGTTCATCCCATTCACCTCTAACAACAACAACCCCCTCATCGTCGCTGCCCCTCCCCCTCCTTCTTCTATTACTCTTACTTACTTTCTCTTTAACTACCTTTATCTACACACACACACACTCACATGCATACATACACACATATACACACAGACATATAGATATATATACACACTACATACATACACAGGCTCTTATGTAATACAAATTACCTATTTTAATTCATGCGCAGAGATATACATATATATATATATACTGTCATTTTCTAAAGATATTAGATTTTAAGAAAAAAATAATAATAATAATAAAATAAAATGAAATTTGTTAACATGATTGATTGTTGAAATATTTTCTTTGTCCTTTGCTTAACCAGGCAGGGTGATGTTCGGAAATTCTACGCGAAACACGCCTAATTGTACGGCCTATGTAACTGGCTCCACAGGATCAGTTAAATTGGTAGATACACATGGAAGAGGCGAAATTAGGCAGTTTGTCTTTCATTCCCGAACACAGAAGAGGAGTGGTTTTAAAGATACAGCGTAATTCAGCATCAGGGAATACTCTTTCTACTGTATTTCTAAGGCGCTGTGTTATTATCTCACTGGTGTTGTCTCCTAGGAACTGCATCTGTAAGAACAAGGCCTTTTTTGGAACTGTTGGTAACTTAGGCTGCTTTGGTTTCATATTCATATTCTTATCAACAAACTTTTCAGGATAACCATTCTCACTTAGCAACCGTTTAATATTGTTTAGTTCCTCGTCAAGACATTCGTCCGAGGAAATCTCTCTTGCTCTGTGGACCAAGCACTTTATTAGATTGCGTTTGTATTTCAAGGGCACAAAGCTGAGAAAATGTGTGTACTGGCCCTTTGATGTAGGTTTCTGTTTTACTAAATTGATGTTGAAAATCATGGCTGCTGAGTGTTGGTATCTCAGTGAGGTGGAGTTCGGGAGTTAGTGGGATACCATTACTCAGTCATTCACTAACTGAGAATGCAGGTACATTAAGCTGTGATGAGTCTTAACTAGGACGACGAAATGTCCCTCCTTGATGTGCTAATGGTAGTCATAATCATTTATGAGCTCGCCTTGTAGTGGGTGCGTGTGTGTTGCTGAAGAGCCCCAAACTAGGCTGACGCGATATAGCTGGCTGTCCAGTACTCCAGTGCCGGTTTTCTAACTTCAATGGTTCTCTAACCCCGTGACAGCTCATGATGAATTCCTGCAAGCAACACTTGAATATCAACCTGTTGCTCACCAGCAGCGACTGGCCCTATTCAGGTCAGTAGTTACCTGGGTTCTAGTGGTAAGTCGTGACCAACCAGTGGCGTATAGCAGGTTCGGTATGGAAACAAATAGTGGCCAACGATGGCATTGGCTGGTTTACTGGTCGTACTATATCGTGTGTGAATTGGAATTCATGGACTGACTGGCCATTGGATTGGCTGGTCCCAGTGACTGAATGGTTTATGAGTTAGTTCACCTTGTTACAGGATGAAGGTGGATTGGAACCCTGGCGATGGTAGGGTGTGCGATCTACTGAGGGGTTAGTCATAAACTAGACTGACGAAACGGCTGGCTATTCAGTATTCCATCAGTGGTTTTCCAATAGTTCTGTAACTGATATCAGCTCATGATGAAATCCTTTAACCATTCAAATCAAATCCCTACAAACCAACACTTGATTATCAATCTGATGCTCACCAGCGGCGAATTGCCCTATTCAAGTAAGTAGTTACCTAGATTCTAGTGGAAAGTTGTGAAAAACCAGTGGGGTGCAGCAGGTTGGGTGTGAGGACAAGTACTCGCCGCCAGTGACACTGGCTAGTGTCAGTAGCGCTATGTCGTGAATTGGTAGGAATTAGAATTCATGGACTGGCCATCGAATTGGTGGGTCTCAGTGTATAAATGGTCTATGACCTAGCACACTTTGTAATCAGAAGATCATGGACTCAAGCCATGGTGTTTGCGTACTGCTGAGGAGTTAATCTCAAACTAGGCCGATGAAATAGCTGACTGTACAATAGTCGAGTGGTGGTTTTTCAATGGTCCTCTAATCGATGTCGGCTCATAATGAAATCCTATCAATAATCAAATCCCTGCAAACCAATACATGAAAAATCATTTAAATTTGCCTTGTAATATTTAATTAGTTATTATTAATGAGGAGTGCCTAGTGGAAATTATTTTGACTAGCTTAGAAATCTACATTAATTGAACTAGAAGAAGAGAGGTGTTCAGCGAAGAGTCGGTGTAAGTTTTTGAATAAACCAAAAAAAAAAACAATAGTTTTTACAGAATTACCTGGTGTCATCGTTTATTTCGTCAGCTTCTCATCATCTGCATACAGCCATAACGGAATTAAGTTTGAAACGGGTAGAAGATAAGAGAAGTGGTAACGAACCTTTTTATTAACAATGAGAAATAATACATCATATTTATACATTTCTTTTAGCCACATTAAAAGTCGACTAGGTTAGAGATGAATAAATTGTTCTGATTGGTTGGTGATTAACTCAAGGTTAAACAATGAGACGAAAAATTGGCCAATCAGGTTGTTTCATGTTCACAGATGTAAAAACTATATCCAGATTTCAACAGCCATTGACGTAAAATTGATATAAGTATAAAACTTGAGCACTGTGGTAGTAGAGTATAACTCCATTATGGATAAGATTTTATTTTGATAAATCACACAGTTTGGTTATGCAGTAATAATAACTCATGACCAAGTATCGAGCACAAATTATTGCCACTCATAATTAGATCAAGGCACTACTCACACAACTTTCTTGCTTCGTTTATATACATCAGTACATACATGATTAGATATTTGAATAAAAACCA